GGGTGTGTGTGTGTGTGTGTGTGCGAGTGCGTGAAGAGGGAGAGCGGTGAAGGTTCGGGAGGGAGAGACGGAAGTGCCGTGCCAAAGCAAAGATTATATATGCAATATTCGCGTGAAAAGTATGTCGGCCTCCTTAGCTCAGCGGTAGAGCACTTCACTAGTAATGAAGGGGTCAATGAAGAGGTCAGTCGTTCGAGTCGGCTAGGGGGCAGTTCTTTTTTCCTTTCCAGGCGCTCAGATGCCTGTTCTGACCTTGCTTTTTGGCTGATTGCGGCCTTGATGGCAGCTCTCTCACACACAGACACGGTGTTCGCGATGGTTCGGTGTGAGCGACAGTGTTGGACAAGCGCGGGGCGTTGTGGTGGAAACGACGTTGCTGGAAAGAGGTGTGGAGTGGTGATGCTCTCGTACACGACTCTTTGCTACAGCGGAGAGACGCCTCAATGGTCGCCGCGCGACGAAGCGTACTTATCCCGCAACTCGTGCATCCCCCCTACACCCGCTTCCCACCCTCGCTCGCCACCAGCGGCAAGATCGTACTTGAGCATGTCCTGGTCCGTCGCTTTCACTTCGTCACCCTCACCTAGCCTCACCCCCGTGTCCTTCCCCCCTAGGCCCCTTAGGCCCTTTTCGGCGCGTTCGACGGCGTCCAAATTGCGCTCGAGCTGCTGGCGCGCGGTGATGTACGCGACGCCCGTGCCGGCGAGCAGACCGGACAGGTACGATGCGTTCTTCGATAGGTTCAGGGCGCGTCGGGATATGAAGGCGGATAGGACGCCGCCAGTCAGGCCGAGGAAGATGCCCCGCACTTGGGCGGCACGGTTCGCGTTGCCCACTTGCGCAACGGGCAGCGGTGGGTGTTCTGTGGGGTCTAGTTTGCCTGCGTTGCGGCCGAGGCGCACGTGAGAGGCGGAGGGGGACGACGAGACGTCCCCGCCGTGGTTCGGCGGTGTGCTCGACATTCGCGCGCGGTTGAGGGTCGGTCGTGTGGGTTGTGCCAGGTTTTGAGGGGCGTTTTGAGGGTCGATGTGTGTGAGAACGTGGCGATGGTTGGTGAAGGTGGTGAGGAGGACGGTTGCGGTGGTGTGTAGCTGGAGCGATGGTGGTTGATGAGGAGGACGAAGAGGATGACCAAGAATGCACCTCCACACGGCTTTGCTCGTCGTCCGACTTCCGGGTCAAACTCGCGCGTTTTCGACGCAAAAAAAAAAAGAGAGCAGAAAATAAGGACGCAAAAAAGAACACACTTCCACACAACTCCCTCAAACAACGCACCTTCGACCATCACTGACAACAAAAGGGGTAGCATTTGGAACTCCAGCTAGCTTGGACAGATGCCAAGGGGTATAACGCACGGAGCGTGGTGCAGGTCTAATCCGAAGCGAAAACTTTCAGGCGCCCACGCGAGCAGCGCGTGCAAAGATCGCCTCCTGCTCGGCCTTCTTCTGCTTGGCGATCGCGGCTTTGCGGATCATGAGGCGTCGGTTAAGGTACTCGAACACGAAGAGGCCTTGGGTGTTGGTGCCGATCTGGGTGGCTTTTTCCTTTTCCTCTGCGGCGAGGGCAGCAGCGGCAGCGGCAGCAGCGTCGGTGGCTGGCTTTTCGTCGTTGGCTGTTGAGGAAGTAGTGACTTCCGAGGACTTGCTCTTCTTTTCCTTCTTCTTGTCTTTCTTTTCCTTTTTATCCTTTTTGTCCTTCTTCTTCTTGCTCTTCTTGTCGTCTCCAGAGTCCGCCTTGCCGTTCTGCTCGGCTTCCAAGCGTCGGTCTACATCAACCAATGCAATCTCGCTGCCTCCCGGTCCGGGATACGTTTTCGGAACGACAGTCGGCGTGGACGCGCCAGACGCCGCCTTGGGTGTCCTCGCCGCAGACGAAGACGGTGTCGACGCAATGCCGAGGATTTCGTTGACACTCGCGAGGTCGTTGGCAGAGACCATGCGTTTGGCGCGCAGGAACTTGGCTCGGTGTGCGAGACGTACTGGTCGGCCCTGTACGACGTCCTTCTTGATCTCGTCGACCGCGGCTGGGTCCTTTGCGAGGGCTGGATCTGCGCTTGCTACGGCGGCTACGGCATCAGCGGTTTTCTGCTTTTCCGAGGCTCGCTTGCTCTTTTTGGACTCGGAGTTGTCCTTCTTATCCTTCTTGCTCTTCTTGGAGTCGGCGGAGGGGTCGGTGTCGTCGTGCTTTCGCTTCTTGGAGGCCTTTTCGTCGCTCGACTTGTCCTTTTTGGATTTCTTGTCCTTCTTGTCCTTTTTGCCTTTCTTGCTCTTCTTCTGCTCTCCATCATCATCGCCAGCTGCAGAAGACGACGAAGAAGCTACCGCCGAAGTCGACGCCGAAGAAGAGGCAGCGTTCGCAGCATTCAGCCGCTCGAACAAGCTCCCCAAATCACCACCGCCACCGACCCAGATATCCTTGCCGTTCGCCCTCGCCTCTCGCTCGTGTCGCTGCGCACCGATACCCTTGTTGTCCATCTTGTACGCCACTTTCAAGTTCTCGGTGAGACCAGGCATGGTGAGGCCGAGACTCTGGCCCGCCGACCAGCCCATCTGCGCAAGCATGCGCTGTCCCGGTGCCGAGGCGTCGTTGAGCCATGCGGTGTTGCGCGTGCTCGCCGAGCCGACGAGGCGCTGTTTCTGTTTTGGTCCGGAGAGGCCCATCTTTGTTGGTTGAGGGGAGAGTGAGGAGGGTGATGATGGTGAGAGGGTCGTTCAAGGTTCTTTTTTTTTTTCAGCGGCATTTTTTTGGGTTTTGGCAAAAAATTCTTGGAAGGAACTTCGGCATTCGGGTTTTGAGCGATACCCGATCGATCGGGGGTTTTGGGTGTCGCACACATTCGCACTTTGCGGGGTTGCGTTTTGTGGCTTTGACCATCCAACCACGATCATCTTGGACGATACGCATACAGCTTGGTGTCCACGGCTACGCTCAACACTGTGCAGCGTATCTTCATCAAGTCAGGAGAGATGCCTCGCAAGGCAAGCTGAAGCACACTCGCAAAGCACGAAAAGATGTCGCCTTATCTGTAGCCCAGCTCTGAGGTCGGTTCCTGTTCACGCCCAAACCACAGGAACGCATACACCATGCCGCCGTCAGAGACCGACAGCCCGGCGCTGCCGTCCACCGAGATCTCGGCCGCCGTCTCGTCGCCTCCGCTGGCACTTCCACCCGCTGGTCAAGATGGCCGAGATGCACAGCGCGCCGTCGCGGGCGAGGTCGATCCGGATACCACAGCAGGCGCTGCTGCTGCTCCTATACCCATCCCTTCTTCCGAGCAACGACCCGCCAAGCAGGCTGTCTCGCAGCGTCACCCGTCCAACACCTTCTACCGCTCATGCGAGATTTCGTTTATGGAGCCTGTCGGGTCCATGTCGATCAGCCCGGCCAATCGCGATGTCGTGCTGGCTGCACGCAAGGGTCTCTTCATCATCGATCTCGAGGATCCGTTCGCTCCGCCTCGCTTCTTGGCGCATATGACCACGTGGGAAGCGGTCGACATCCAGTGGTCGCCGCACCCGGCACGAAGCAACTGGGTGGCGAGCACTTCCAACCAAAAACTGCTCATCTGGAACCTCGACCGACCGGGAGATCCACGTGCCGCACCGCCGCTCACACGCATGCTGCATCGAGGCTCGATCCACAGCAGCTCCAGTCCCATCATGCCTACCAACCCGCACTTCGCGACGCAGCGCAGCAGCGCCTACCAGAGCATCTACAACAGTCAGAGCCTCCATTCTGGTCTCACCGCTGGCACTCGCAGCGGGTATGGTGCCATCTCTGCTGCATCGACTTTCGGAGAGACGCCCATGTCGGCTGCGTCGCAGCTGCAGATGATCGCACAGGAGTCGTCGGCGATCGAGCATGTGTTGCACGCGCATACACGAGCGATTACGGATATCAACTGGTCGCCCTTCCATCCGGAGATCGTTGCGTCGAGCTCGATCGATACGTGGACGTGGGTGTGGGATCTGCGCATGAGTGGCGGCTCGGATGGGAGCGCTAGGCAGAAGCCGGCGCAGGGGTATTCGGCGTGGAATGCGGCGGTGACGCAGGTCAAGTTCAACAGGGCCAGCGAGCATCGGCTTGCCTCGACGTGCGACAACAAGGTGCTCATCTGGGACGATCGCAAAGGCTCTCTTCCGCTCGCCACCATCGAGGCGCACGAAAACAAGATTTATGGTATCGACTGGAGTCGAGAAACCAGTCTCGGTCTGGACCGGCTCGTCACGTGCTCGCTCGATCGCACCGTCAAGTTCTGGGATCTGGCGTCCGACACTTCGCAGGCCGCGATCGGCGCGAGGGAGCTCGTGACCGAGGCCGAGTCGATGATCGAGACGCGCACACCAGTGTGGCGAGCGCGCCATCTGCCGTTCGGTAATGGTGTCATGACCTTGCCCCAGCGTGGAGATACGACGTTGAGCATGTGGGCCAAGGACGAGCCGGAGGAGCCCAAGGCTACGTTCAGCGGTCACACGGACATTGTCAAGGAGTATCTGTTTCGCACCAAAGGAGGACAGGATCGAGGCAGCGACGATCGACAGTTCCAGCTCATCACGTGGTCCAAGGACCAGACGCTGCGGCTGTGGCCCGTCAGTGACGAGCAGACGCGCAAAGTGGGCCACAAGCCAGGTGGCGCGATCCGGGTGTTGCTCACACGAGCCAATGCACCTGACATTTCGTACCGCGATCCGCCCCTTGCGTTGCCGGCCGGTGGCGAGGATGCGGCGATGCTCGCGAGCCAGGCGTCCGGCAGCAACATCACCACGTCGTCCATCCTCCCGCCCGAGCACGCCACGCGCTCGCTGCTCAGCGGCAAAGGCAGCGGCAGCAGGATCCACACCATCTCGCCGTACAGCTCGTCCATGTCCGGCTTCCAGAGCGTCCTCCGCGACGGCCGCACCAGCCCGCTCGCGCCCTTCGGCACCAGCGCCGGGCACAGGAGTCTCAACCACAGCTCGAGCCACGGCGACTTGGGCGTGGATCTCAGCCAGCTCTCGCGCAGTCCGATGCAGACGCTCGCGCGCTCGTTGCCGAAGCAGGCAGAGGAGCATGTGGGCAGGCTGGGGACGTCGTATCACAGTTCCAAGTATGAGGGTGGCAGTGCGTCGCAGCAAAGTGGGGGCGGGCAGTCGTCGTTCAAGGTGCCTGCGAGTTGGAGGGGAAAGCATGTGCCGGGGACGGCGGGGTCGAGTAAGCAGTGGACGGCGAACA